TCTGTCATCTAGCATCAATTTAACATCTATCAATCTATTTATTTATCTGTCTTTTATCTATCTACTCTTGGGTGGATATTTATTTGCTTCCCAGGTTTAAATATATGGTTCTATATCTATTGTCTTGGATTTTATGGTTTCCAGTTAGATATCTGATATTGTTCTGATATGTTTGGTTTCATAGATAAGTTGGCATTTTTCCCTTTCAGCATTTATTTATTTATTTTTGATTTGTACTTTTGGCATCTTGAGTATGATGTGTCATGGATATGTCTTCTCTGGTAAAGTCTATTTTGGTTTCTAAAATGCCTCTTGTGTTTGGTTCTCCATTTGTTTCTCTAGGTTTAGGAAATTTCTCATTATAATTCAGTGGAATAAATTGCCTGTGCCTTAGACTTTTTGTCAGCTTCTTCTTGTACCAGTGGATCATTTCCACAGAGTTCTTGGAAGTTTTGGCCTTGCCTACTTACTGTTCTTTATGTGTGTCTGAGTGTGTTGTTGCCCTGACCTTATTGTTCCTGACTCATTCTTTCTTCTGTTTGCTTTTGTGTGTTGATATTTAAAATACAATGCTTTCTAATGGATTTTAAAATTTGATTTGTTATTTAATTTCAAACATTTCTGTTTGGTTGTTTCTGAGAGTATCAATTTTTTTTTTGCTGCACTTACCTTTGTGTTTTTGAATATCTCCTCCAAATTATTGACTGTTTCATCTACTTGGGTATCTTTTTTGTCCGGGTCCTGAATTGATTTCTTTACTTCATTTGTCTGCTAATTTGAATCCTCTGTGTAGTCATCGATCTCCTTTTAAAGTAGGAGTCTGAACTGTTTTTCTGGCCTCAGTTATCTCATTATCTTGGTTTCTAGTACTAAGGAAATATGAGCTAAGGATTATGAAAAATAATGGAAGACATATTATGATGGTTGCAGAAAAACAATGGAGAGTGATAAAAGCCTATTTAGACGAGATGTGAGCTAAAACATAACAAATAAATGAGTCCAATAAAAAATAAAAATATAAAATGAGATAGAAGATCTATCATTAATCTGTATTTCTTCTAGGTTAGTTTTGTAGCAGGCTCTTCAGGGATAGCAGCTTTTTCTGTAAGTCAAGCAGTTAGATTTGAATGTCCTTCCTGCAGAGAGGAGTTTCATTTTGGGACTCTGTTTCCTGAAGGAATTCTCCAATGTAAGATCTACCTATCTGCCAGCCCCAGCTTTTTTTCTGGTGTGCTGGGAATCATATTTTCTGTATTGGCTTTTGTGGAACTGAGGGAGGGTCTGAGGGAGTGTGGCAGGCATGTCCACACTTGTCTCTACCTTTGTCCTAGGTGATGTCTTCCTGGACCAATTTCAGCTGCCTTTTCACTGATGTCTTGCCCTTGTGGCTTGAGAAGAGTTGTGTCCACTTGTGATTCTCTGCCAGCCTTACTAAATGTCCCCTCTTTTCACTTGACTAGACAGTGGTCAGGCTGGTGTTTTCTGTGTCTTCTTTAGGCTAGGGTTCCCAGCTTCAGGCTCCTGTGCTACACTCCTGTGCAGTTGACACAGCCAGTGCTGCACTAGTGTTACTCCACCTTCAACATATCTAGCTCTGGATACATCACATCTCTGCAGCTCACTCAGTCTGTCCAGCTTGTTCTTGTGCCTGTGTCCAGGAGGGGACAGCACCTTTCTGGCAGCTGTGGCTTCCCCTTAGCCAGGCAGAAACAACTCAGGATGGCTGTTCTTGACTGTTTCTCTGTGAAGGATTTTGTAGAATTCAGCTGTTACCCTTTCTTTCCCCATCTCTTTCCACTGTCCTACTAATCCCTTTGTGTGTTTCTGATGTCTTTTACCCTTTCATAGGGATAGAATTGATTCATTTTCTCTCCCTTTACCAGATCACACAAAGGCAGCTTTTAATTTACCATCAAATGCAGAAGTCCCTCCAGGCTCATTTATTATTGTGAGACATTTCTAGCAGGTTATACATATTGAAGAAAACAAATTGTAGTTAAAATGAGACCCACCTCTCAAGCTGTTTTAATTCTGTGGTCGTTGTGCTGAGTGGCATGGAGCAGATAGGAGAAACTGGTGTCATCAATGATAAGTAACTTTTTGAGATTTTTTTTTTTCCCCTGTAAAGTGAAACAGAAACGTAAGTTTAAAATATGTTGTTTTTTTCTTTACAGATGGAAAATACAGTGATATATTTACTTGATGGGAAGAATTCAGTTGCTTTTTAATGATTAATTTTTGACAATTTTATACATGTATATAATATATTTTAATCATTTTTTATATCCTCACTCCCTATACTTTTATGTTTTGGAGGGTGGGGAGAAGGGAGTTTTGGTGTATAGTTTATAGATTGATCAGTGGTAGGAGCTTGAAGCAACTAGTCATATCCACAGTTAAGATCAGAGAAAGATGAGTACCTGAATGTCTGCCTACTAGGACTCAGCTAGCTTTCTCTTCTCCAACTCCCATCCCCTTTCTGAAGCATATCTTAAAAATAAAAATAAAAACTTCTTGTTGCTTCACCTTGGTGGTTATTTACTTTCATGCTTGAAAGCCTTTTAATTCTATGTAGTCCTACTTGCTACTTTTTTTTTTTTTACTTTGGAAGTATTTTTGAAAATATTTTATTAATTTCCTGAGAATTTTATAGATTGTAATTTATTCATATTTACTCTCAAGTCCTTCCAGATTCACCCCTAACCCCTACCCACCCAGCTTGGTGAGGATAGTACTAAGAGTTCCTTTGTCAGCTGCCACATTTGCTGTGTAATTTTGTTAGATAACCATCGCAGGCTAGTGGAGATTCCCGTATGCTGTGTTTGAGAAGCAGGTTTTCACGAATGAACGACGAACATCAGTAAAGGCTCCTGCATCCACTCTGATGCAACTACTCCCTGATGTCCCCTAGACGCTGAACTGTAGAGCAGTATCTTGATGATGCTGAGCCATCTTTGAATCCAGGCTGAATTCTAGTTACAATTTGCCCACTAAGTCTGACTTGTTACTATGCATTTTGTTTTTCTTCTCTAATGATAAGATTGGTCTGGAGATTTTTCTTTTCTTTGTATTTTCCTGCTCCAGTTTGGCTTCTGTCATAAAATGTTCCTCATTAGTCTTCTATCAGTTCTTCTGTTGTCCGAAGTATTTTATAAAACTTTTTTTTTTAATGTTTGGAAAATTAACTTATTAATGACCTGTCTTGCTTTCTGTCTTCTGATGGTCCTTTCAAGTTTCTTAGTAGTACTTTGTGTGTATGTTTTTCAGCTAATTTTCTAAAAAACAGATCTATTCTCACATGTTTTAATTTTTTTTCCAGACAGGGTTTCTCTGCGTAGTTTTGGTGCCTGTCCTGGAGCTCACTTCCCACTGCTCCTCATAACTCCTCCCATATCCACCACTACCATCTTTGTGTACTTTAAAAAAATTTTATAACCCACTGACTCCAATTTATGATGTCCATATACTTCTGGACGTGGTGTCATTCACTGGAGTGTGGTCAATGTACTGAATACCATACTCTTAAGATGGGATCTTCCTCCTCCAGAAACCATCAACTATCCACCTCTTGGTTAGTGGTAGAGACTTGTTAACCCTTTCACACATCAGTCTAGAATGTTGACTTGTCTGATCTTGGGCAGGTAACCACAGCTACTGTGAGTCATGAGTCCTGTCGTGTCCAGAAGACTCCATCTTGCTCTGGTTATCCCTGACCTCTGGCTCTTACAATCTTTCTGCCACCTCACCACAATGGTCCCTGAAGTTGGGGAGTGGTGTGATAGTTCCACTTGTGGGTGAACACTCTACTGACATTTATTCTCCGCATTTTGACCAGTTGTGTATTTCTGTATCATCCACAAGCCACCACACAAAGAAGCTACTCTGATAAGATCTGACAACTGCACTAATCAGTGGGTAGGTACAAGAATTTAGAGGGCAGTTTGATACTCTGATCATTTAACAGAATAATAGTAGTAGGTACAATCCAAAAATAGTTGGTTACTTACAAGATAATTGTGCCACTATTGTACACATGAGACTATCTTGCTATTTCAGTCATTATTGCCATTCACAGGATTCACAGACAAAACTCTTGATGATTTTTTTTTTTTACATTAGCAAGCTGCATAGTACTTTCTGGCACTATGAAAGCTAGCCAGCAGAGAGGATACTTCCCTGCCAGTTACAACTTTATTTCTCCATGTTCTGCGACCAATGTGTGTGGTTTCCTCAGCCCTAGGGTTTCATCATCATATTCTGATGGTAGCTAAAAGCAATGGCATTAGCCTATATTGTTCTGTGGGTCTCAAGAACACTTCTGACCAGAAAGTTAGAGGTATCTCACATGCGACATTGGGATTTTTATTTGTCAACATATGACTTCTGGGGAACAAAATCTCCTGCATATGGTAACTTCAATTAAATCCTCTTTTTGAAAAATAATACGGTGGTCATAACATGACAGGTTTCCATATGGCTTTTTTCCAAAATCTTTAGTGCTATTTATTCCTTCTCTAAGCCCTCCTGTGCCCTCCGCCCTCTTTCCCATCCTTCCCCATTTCCTCTCCATGTCACCTATGTGATACTATCTCTGCTCCCTTAAGATCTCTTATATGGATCTTAGCATCAAATTTTTAGATCTGTGTATTTGAGTACCTGTGGAATCTGAGAAACTAAAGTGTGACTGTTGGTGAGAGAGAAGGAATTAAATATATTTTTTTTAAATTAAAATAACAATTAAGTACATTAAACTTTGTAAGAAGGTACAGTTATTACCACTTTACAGATAAGGAAACTCAAGAACAGAAATAAACTTGAAGATATGAATGGATGATCCATGCTAGTCAGATTTTGAATTTCTACATGATATTGTGTTTTGTGAGCTCATTTTTTTTTTTAAATCACACTATTTAGGGATTATCTGAGAGGAAGACATTTACCATTTTATCGAGATGGTAGCACTGTGACTCTGTATCTCTGTATTCTTTTTTTTTTTTTTTATAAAACTCTAAATTTATTCAAAGTGTTAAAAGATTTCACTCTTCCTTCCAAAATATTTTATAATTAAAACTATTTTCTCAGCCACTGTTACTTTCTTCTTTTAGGACCAGCCTCTGCCCCTCCAAGCCCTTTCCTCTACCCTCCCTTGCCCAATACCCTGCCTTGACTGCCCAGCAGAGCCCAGCATGGCTTCCCAGTCCTCAGTGGCAGAAAGGCTGACCGGATTGGGAATGCACAGGTGATGCCCAGGAGACAGTGGGGTGCTTTGTGCTTATGGGGAGAGCTAGTTGGATTTTCTTCCAGTGGGTCATTGTTTTCCCCCATGGACACCTGTTTAGAGCCAAATATTTGGCTTAGGGTCACCCACAGCCTTGTAAAGCCTTTGTCCAGTTCTCCCCAGGCATGGGTCCACGACAACTGGATCTGATGACTATACCGTCTGTCTCCTTGTAAACTAATGTTAGGAACAGAAAAAGTGGCACATGGGAAGGGGGGCCTGATGGAGTTCCCAACTTTTCAGAGTGTAGGTACCAAAACCCCAGGGCAGGAAGTTTTGGGTTTTGTAGGCAAGGGCCAGGGCCTGCTCGGATCACAGGAGGCAGGGCAGTCAAGGGAAAGGTCTAACGACTGAGTCTAAGGTAAGCAAAGCTCCTTCCGAGACGCCTTCCCATCCCCCCTCATCCTGCAAGTCCCAGGATGACCAGAAAAGAGGACAAAACAGAAGGAAAGGATTCTGCTGTGGTGATGGGAAAGGAGATGATAGCTGCTTGGGTGGGGAAGGGCCTTCTGGAATCTGTAGTTGGCTGTTTTTCTGTTCTAGGAAGCTGGTTGGGGGCCAGAAGCCAGGCCCACATAGACTTCATCAGCTCTGTTCCTTGTCCTTGACTAATAAGACTGTGTGCTGGCCCCCGCTGGACACAGTTAAGACCACTCGGTTCTCCAGCTGTTTGCCAGTCATTTCCACAGGGCTCCAGGCATCTTCATCCTGCCCTGTGCCCAGCTGGTAGTTGGTGCCCATGCCCCAGGCAAAGACACGACCATCCTTGGACACAGCATACCCCACAGAGGCCCCACAGGCCACTGAGGAGACGATGGGCAGCCGGGAAATGAGGGTGGGTATGCTCTTCTCCTCAGCACCTTCTCCAAGGCTCAGCCGCCCATACTCAGCCCTGCCCAGGCTGTATGCTTTTCCTTCTGAATCCATGCAGATTGTATGGTGCTGGCCACCAGAGAAGCCCACCCAGGACTTGGTGGAATTCTTGAAGGATGTCAAGTTCTGAGGAATGAAGCAAGATCCAGTGCCTGGAGTTCCAAGCTGGTGATAGTTGGAGAGACCAAAGCCATAGACATGGCCCTCCCGGGAGATGGCAAAAGTGAAATAGGCCCCACAGAAGGCATCCTGGAACCGCACGCGGCCCCGGCTTCCCCTCGATTTCAGCAGCACACACTTGGGGACCAGGAGTCGCTCAAGGCCCTGACGGCCACCACGGTTGGCAAATAATTCAGGCACACGGCCCAGCTGACCCTGCTCCCCACAACCCAAGGTGTAGAGGTCTCCATCAGTCGTCAGCATCACCAAGTGGTCGTTCCCTGAGGCCACCTTTACCACAGGCATGTCCAGCTGCACTTGAACGGGCACCATGCTTTTCTTCATGGGTTCCAACAACCCGATCACACCATTATTGTCCCGGAAAGAGCCCCAGAGGAAGACACGGCCATCTTCGGTAAGGGCTGCTGTGTGACTGTCCCCTGCTGACACTTGGACCACCTTCTCTTGCAGTTCCACTTTCCCAGGGACCATCTCTGAGCCCTCGACCGACGTGTCCCTTCCCAGGGCACCCTCATCATTGCATCCGAAGGAGTAGACCTGGCCACTTCGGCTCAGACACACGGTATGCATGCCCCCGGCCTCAGCCTGCACAACATCTTGTAGAAGGGGCACCAAGGCCGGCTTCTTCCTCTCCAGCACACTCTCGCCCAGCCCCAGCTGGCCCACGTCGCCCTGGCCCAGTGTCAGCACCAAACCTGGCTCTGTGTTGTGGGACCTGTGTGAGACTTTCACCTTCTTGCTTTTGGGGATGGCATCTTCGGGGGGTGACCTTCTCTTAGCTATGCGCTTGGGTGGCATCTTCCTGTCCTCGGTGCGGGGCGGCCGCAAGCAACTCTGGCGCTCGGCGGCCAGCGGCGAACTCGACTCTGTATTCTTAAACATCCCTTTGGAGTCACAATGGGCTTGTTGAAGAAAGCTTTCATCAGCCTACTTTCAAGGCTAAAATAAATCCACTTTTATTTCAATAATATCTATGACCCTCCTCTTTTCTCTCGCCTTCCTCTCCTCGTTCAATTGTCCTCCACCCTCCACATACAACTACTTCTATGCCTACGAGCAGAGAATACCTGGAAGTCTCTATATAAAGTGAGGCGTATTTCCAATGGTATATAGGCCAACGTTATTGTACAATTTCATTTATTTCCATCAAAACATATTTTAAAAATGCCTTCTGTCCCAAGTAAAATTTCACACTGAAGAACTGAAATTATTAAAGATTGCTGTATGTCTTCCACCAAGAAAAGCTGATTTTCAGGACATAATTTTCAGGGTGTATTCAGGTGCATTCATTCCCCCTCCCCTCCACAAAGTGTGAAGATTAATTTCCCATCACATCAATAAGAAGGAGTGATTATGACAAACTCCTGAGTTGAGAGTCATTAAAAGTGAGCAAGAGATATTTCACAGGTCAAGTGTTTTGTCTGCAAGCTTTACCCTGGCTTTTGGCTTAAAATGTTGCTCTCCAAGGCCATTTAATTCTTACGGGCACATCTTTTCCTCTCACAAGTTTATTTATTTATTTTTTTAGAGACTGGGTAGGGAGGAGTGACTGTAATTAATTCTCTTCAGGATAGGGTCTAAATTTGTGACCCTATAGCTGAAAGATGTAGTGTATGTCCTCATCTTCAGAGTCATTTTGGACCATCATTCTACATTTACTGCATTGAGCTGAACTCTGAAATTGACTCGCTCAGTAGAGGTGATATTTGTATGATATTGTTAAACAACAACAACAACAACATTTATAGAACAGTAAATGCTTTTTTTATGGCCACAGAGAACTTAAGATTCTGTAACTATTGAACAATAGTTTTGGACAGCCATGGAAAGCAGTGCTTTTCTGGTATATTTTGAATGTAACGTTAGGATTAGACTTAGCACTCTAGAGGTTGACAGAAATTGAACTTCCTCAATGGCTTTTGGAGCTGACAATGTGGGTAAGTCTGGCATTAAGTTCCCCAAGGCTTGTAAGTTATCAGAACTTCTCTCATGGCTAATGTTGGAGGAATCTAAAGACTTCCCTTTCCAAAAGCATTCCTTCAAATATTGTATTTATCATCTGGTTTGGGATCAGGACTTGCCCAGTGTCAGGAATACAAAGCTAATCATTTTATTCTCTCTCTCTCTCTCTCTCTCTCTCTCTCTCTCTCTCTCCCTGTCCCTCCCCATGTTTCTCCCCCCAAAAGAGCTATTGCAAACTTAGATATATTTGTGATACAAGTTGGGAAAATTCTGCGTCTATGTATATATGAAGTAATATGGGAATAGAGACAAGAAAATTATCTGCCTTAACTTATAGCTTCAGGGGTGTCCCTAGCAGAGCCATGTCTTGGAAATGAATTCTCTCTCCCTTCAGAATGATGATGGGGGAAGTTCCAGGCAGGGAATGCAAGGTGTGCCAAACAAAGTTCACTCCCTCAAAGACCTGCTTCTCTGGCTACTTTTGTCTTTTCCTACCCCATGTGTTTTATATGTGACTTGGTAGTAGACATGATACACTAATTTTTCTCCCTCCCTATTATGACTTCAATTTATTTATTTTATTAAGGAATTTTTAAATTCATTTTATATATCAATCATAGATTCCTCTCTCTTCCCTCCTCCTGTTCTTCCAGCCTCCCCCTCAACCCACTCCCCATTCCCTCCTCTCACAAGGTAAGGCCTCCCATGGGGAGTCAGCAGAACCTGGTACATTCAGTAGAGGCAGGTCCAAGCCCCTCCCCTTGCATCAAGACTGTTCGAGGTGTCCCATCATAGGTAGTGGTCTCCAAAAAGCCAGCTTATGCACTAGGGATGGATCCTGATCCTACTGCCAGGGGCCCCTTAAGCAGATCAAGCTACACAACTGTCTCACTTATGCAGAGGGTCTAGTTCAGTCCTGTGGAAGCTCCACAGCTGTTGATCCAAATTTCATGAGTTCCCACTAGTTTGACTTGGTTGTCTCTGTGGGTTTCCCCATCATGATCCTGATGCTCCTTACTCATAGAATCCCTTTTCTCTGAACTGAAGTCCTGGAGCTTGGTCTGGTGCTTGGCTGTGGATCTCTGATCTGCTTCCATCAGTTACTGGAGAAAGGCTCTATGATGACAGTTATGGTATTCACTGATTACTGGGATAAGCCAGTTCAGGCACCTTCTCCACTATTGCTAGTAGTCTAAGCTGGGGTCATCTTTGTGGATTCGTGGGAACTTCCCTAGCACTTGGTTTCTCCCTTATCCCATGATGTCTCCCTCTTTCTTGGTATCTCTTTCAAGGCTCTCCTACTCTGTCCCTGTTCCAGCTCAAAAATCCTGTTCCTTTATGATCTCATCCCCATCCCCTACCCTCCATTGCCCACACCTCATCCCCAGTTTACTCATGGAGATCTCATCTATTTCCCCTTCCCAGTGTTATCCATGTGTCCCACTTAGGGTCTTCCTTTTAGCTAGCTTCTCTGGAGCTGTGGGTTGTAGTCTGGTTATCATTTGCTATACACCCTAGTATCCACTTATGAGTGAGTACATACCATGTTTGTCCTTCTGAGTCTGGGTTACTTTATTCAGGATGATATTTCCTAGTTTCATCCACTTGCTTGCACATTTCATGATGTCATTTTCCTTTACTGCTGAGTAGTACTTCATTGTGTTTATGTACCAATTTTCTTTATCCATTCCTTGGTTGAGGGGCATCTAGGTTGCTTCCAGGTTCTGGCTATTATGAATAATGATTCTATGAACATAGTTGAGCATGTGTCCTTGTGGTATGATTGAGCATTCCTTGGGTAGATGCCCAAGAGTGGTATAGCTGGGTCTTGAGGTAGATTGCTTCCTAATTTTCTGAGAAACCACCACACTGATTTCCAAAGTGGCTGTACAAATTTGCACTCCCACCAACAGTGGAGGAGTGTTCCTCTCCAATATAAGCTGTTATCAGTGTTTTTGATCTTAGCCATTCTGACAGGTGTAAGATGGTATCTCAGAGTCATTTTGATTTGCATTTCCCTGATGACTAAGGATTTGAGTGATTCCTTAAATGTCTTTCAGATATTTGAGATTCTTCTGTTGAGAATTCTCTGTTTAGCTCTGTAGCCCATCATTTAAATTGGATTGTTCAGTATTTTGGTGTCTAGTTTCTTGAATTCTTTATATATTTTGGACATCATTCCTCTGTCAGATGTGGAGTTGGTGAAGATTTTTTCCCATTCTGTAGGCTGTCATTTTGAAAATACTCATGACTACAATTTTTACTCATTTATACATCTCTTTTGTTGTGTTACCTGTTCTTTGGTTGGAATATCAAATCTGCTCTCCTATGCTATTTTAGATGGCAGATGTTCTAATTATTTATTATGAGTTGACTCAATCTTGTACTCAGTTTGAATAATATGCAAATACTGTTATCTTGTGAGAATAAAACAACCATTTGGGTGTGGCACTTGATGGAATGTGGGGGAGCTAGTTCAGTTGGGTGGTCGGGTAACTCAGGTAACTTGTATCCTATGCCAGGACTTTCAACTACATCTCTCTTTAAGATGGTCCATAATTCAATCTTCTCCAAGAGAGCAGCATAATCAAAATGGTAAAATTCAGAATGATTTTGATTCAAATCATAGTTGTTTTACTACTAACTATGATTTTGGACAGATTAATCACATTGAGCCTTTGTTTCCTGTGTAAAATTGAAAAACATTTATTAAAATATTTTTGGGTACATCCTATGTGGTATGTGATATCACCAGATAATATCATGAAGACTGTGGCATTAAAGGGGATGCTGAGTGGCACAGATTTGGTGCCTGGGTCATTAGGATGCCATAGTCCTTACGAACTCCCTCTTAACTCCTTTTAGTTTGCCAGCATTATTTATTAGACAAGAATGGTTTTACTGTTTGTTTTTTTTTTTTGCCAAATCTTTGCAATCTCTGGGCTGCAGACAGTACAGGTGTTTATTTGACATGCACACAGGATTTAAAAAGCAGAAGACTATGAGAAATCTTAAATATAACTTACAGATTTTAGCTGGCTATAAACTTGTCATCCCCTGCTGTATCACTCCAGGCTTCTGCTTTTGGCTTTGGCTTTACATTAGACCCACCTGGGGTCACTTACATGTCCAGATACTTGGGCTGCATCTCAGACTAACCACATAAGAATCTGCATGGTGGTTATTTATTAGTGTTATTTAAGGCTCTTCCGGTGACTCTAATGTGCAGCAAGGGCTGCTGTTTTGGAGCTCTTTTCATTTATCCTGCCAACCGTGTGGTTCTGAAAGGCAATGGATGTCAACCCTAAATTCTAGGAAGGCATCTTTGTTTCGTCTAAATTTCAGACCCTGTCATCATCATCGAACTCTGAGTTCTCTCAGGTGGCACCTTCTTGGCCTCTGATTCCATTTTTGGAGTTCAAAGACCTCACTGTAAGCAAATGTGCTTTTATTTATTTATTCCCAATGCCTGTCTTATGGAATACTGGAATTTCTCTATAAAATGTGAAATGATGTTTTTGTTTTTTTTGTTTTTTTGTTTTTTTTGCCTCCTTCTCTGGAAATCGAGACCTCAGATCACTTATCTGCCAGGGATTTTTTGTCTTATTTTGTAGTTGAGTTCAAGGTCAGGTGAGAACTGCCCAAATTTAATTTTTCTGGTTAGCTGTTGGTCAGTTCAGTTAGAAATGCTATTTCTTTCATGTTACTGTTTAGGAAAGTGGTGGCTCTAAATGTAGAAACACAAATGTGAAGAAAACAGAAACAGATTTATTGTCTGCTAGAAATGTGGACAGGGATTGGCGGCAGCTAAGGATGGCAGTGATCTCTTTGAAAGGGTTAAGGGTAAACCTGAATAATCTCTACCAGTGTCTGACCTAAGTTCTCAACCTCA